CATTGTGTTCAAGAAAAAAATGATCTTTATATTTCTTATAAATTGAAGTATAATTTTCAATATTTGAAAGATATATAAAGTTTCTAAAATCATTATGATGTCTCATAGAGGATGGCAAATCATGATCAGTTTCATATTATACCAAATATTCTTTAACAGAGAATATTATATTAAAATTAATAACAACTTTAGAATTTCACCTTAGCATATATATGTCTAGTAATACCATAAGTACGTCTAGTTAATCCATATTCTTGAAGATAATTTTGTAAAGCTAAAAGTTTATAATCACTTAAATTGCATAATTTCATATAAGCAGGTTTACAAAGTAGAAAAGATATATTAAAGCTATATTGGTATGAATGATGTAATTTTTATCTTTTTCTTTTTTTTTATTTGAAATTTTAAAGGTTATTAATTGAGTTTTTATACAAAGTTCAAATTCATGTTTTTCTAGTACTTTTAATTTCATGTGTCTTTCAAAAAAATGCTTGAATTCTACTTTTTTAAAACAGGTTCTTATATCTCTTTTATTAGGAAAACGTCAGCAAGTACAGTTTGCAGTATTATTAAAAATGTTATTAAATCATACACTAAATCAAGTATCATCTCATTCTTCTCATATTCTTTTAATTCTAACTCAATGAAATTATAAATAGGTGTTATTAAACTCATAATAAATTTTATTAAAAATTAAAAATATTTATAAGATTTTTATTAAAATAAATTCTGAAAAGTAAAAAGTAATAATTTTAATAATTTTTATAATTTTTATAAAAAAATAGAGTTATTTAAAAAGAAAAAATTTTTGTTGTTAATCATAAAGATTCAGAGATAGAGTATTATATTCTCATAATATTTCATTCTTTTTTAATTTTTTTAAGGGATGCTTTAGGAGATTTGGAGATTCAAACTACAAAAAAAAATAGAATTGAAATATTAGTATCATGAGATAAATAAATTTTCATTAAAAAATCCCAAAAAGTAAGTAGTAAAACAAAAAAAATAAAAAAGTAAGAACTTGGTTATCATATGGAGTATTATACTTTCGTAAGTAATGATATACTTGTATGCTCTCTTCTTTTTTAATTACCTTTAAACAAAGTTTATAAATCTAATCTATAAAAAAGAAAATAATGAACTTCTTACATAGTATTTTCGATTAATGTGATAAGTATAGTATTTTGTGGTTGTATTTAATTTTCACAAGATAAATTGGAATAAATAATACATTTTAAGGTTTTCTTTTTAATAAGTGTGGCTAGCAGTATATTTTTTATATATAAAAATTTATATTTTATTTGTTGTAAAATTGTTACGTAATTTTTTTATTAATAATCAGTATTTTTGTGTTAGATTATCCTTTTTCTTGTGAAGAACAATTTCATTTCTCAAGAAACATACTTCCTCTAACTTTTTCAAGATTTTCCTTACTTTTCTAATAATGTTGTTAGTAGACTCTAATAATCCATCCTAAAAGTATATAAATTCTAGATTGTTATTTGATTGTTATTTTTTAGTAAATCCAGTATTGTAAATATAATCTTAAAGAATTTCAAGTATATAATGCTTTTTTTAACTCTTTTTCACAAATAGGTTTCATCGGTTCTTCTATCTTTTTTATCTTCTTCCATACCAACTCACAACTAATTATATTCCTACTCACTAGCAAACTTGCTATATAAACCATGTTCCCTCTTCTCTTATGCTTTCAGCCTAAATTAAGAATATTTAAATGTTCAAACTTGCAAAATTCTAGGTCTAACTCTTTATATCTTTTATCCACTGATATTTTTCTGAAGGTCTAATTTACAAAAAAGAATAATAAACATAAAGAACAAAAAAAAAGTATGACATCTAAATGAAAAAAAATATTAGTATAACATGTTCACAGAGGGTCAAATTTATTGCAAAATTCATTATAATATAACAGCGTAACTATTTTTCATACATTTAAATCATGTGATGTAGATTATCATACCTAAAATTAGAAACATTTATTATTGGCCCAAAAATGTCCTGATTGTATAATACTATTATTGTCATTATTTATTTTAAAATATACTATACCTTTCGTATCTCAATTTTTATAGCATAGAACCTATATTCTTATTTTTAATAAAATCAGCATATATTTTTTATGATTATCTTTAATAAATTTAAAATCATAATCATAATTATATTTATTTATATAATCTTGTATATAACTAGTTGTATAGCAAAATTTTTCAGTTAATATTAATATAGTATATTTATAATATTCTTGTATAACTTCAGTACCTTTATAAATTTCATAAATTAAATATATATAATAAGAATTTACTTTTAATTTCTTAATTTCCTTTTTAAAATTATTAGAAAAATTATTCTAATTCATTAATACTATTAAATAAACTTATTTATTCTTATTTCTTATTATTAATAAAATAATTATTAATAACAAATACTCAAACATATATTTTATTATTTATTAATTGTAATTTTTATTATTTTTATTTGTTATTTTATAATAATTATCTTTAGTAAAGTTATTTTATTTTCATTAAAATTAATAGGTATTAAATATCCTATATTTAATTTTTTAATATTATTTTCATATTTTTTTTCTCTTTAAAAGTTATAGATAAAAATATTAAAATAATCATATTATCAATTTTTATTTTAAAGTAATTTATCAATATTTCTATCTTTAAATTTTTTTTTAAATTCTATTTTTTTATTTTCTAAAAAATTAGATAAAAGGATTATATGATCTGATATAATTTTTGCTTTTGTAAGACCAATATTTGATTAATTTGTTTTATTTTAATTACTACAATAGATATTATATATAATTTAATTTTTTAAAAGATTTTAATTTTTAAAAAATAATTTTTTTAGTTCATATAAAAAAATATATATATATATATAAGAATAATAAAAAAACTATATATAAAATAATAATATAAAGAATAAATTAATGCTTATTTGCTACTATTTTTAAATAAATAATATCCAGATTATATAACAAGAATGTCAGTGCCAATTCATAGCCTAAAAAATTAAAAAAAACTTACAAGTCTTATAAAGAGAAAGAAAATTAAAAAAAAAAGAATAAAGAATTATAATTTATAGGAAGTTTAAAATGATTTTTTTTTTAAATCTATAACTTAATTGAATTTAAAAAACCTATTAAAATATTAAATAAAAATATTTATTATTTATTATAAACAAATAGTTTAATCTCAAATTTTTTAAAAATAGTTTAGGAAAACATCTTTAATTTTTTACAAAGTTATTGATATATATAGGAGGTTTGCTAGGAAAATGAAGCTCTGAGAATTTTTTAAAATTTTAATAAAAAATGCTCAGAATCCCATTTTTCTAGCAAACCTCCTATATACAACTTCTTTACTAATATTATTACATTCTTCTAAATCAAGAAATTTTAAATTGAGATATACAAATATCAAGACATTTACAAGTTAGTGCTTTAATAACCTTATTACTAGCATTACTACTGATCTCTAGATAAGTTTCTATTAAATTGATATAATCATTCTCAAAAAAGTACTTTAGATTATTTCTAAGAAACATTTTAAATAGAACTCAAATACAAGATTATAATATTTCTGTGTTTTATAATCATATTTGTAATGTAGACGCATTAACACTTATACTTTCTTATGATTTAGGCCAGAATTAGCTGAATTCCATAGTTTAATCATCCTTGCAAGTGTATAAGCAGTTTACATTATTTGATGATTTTTAGTTTATAGCAATTTTCATAAGTTATATATAGCATCTTTATATCAATATCTACCAAAGAATAATATGATTCAAACTTATACAGAGTTTAGGGCTGGGTCAGAGTCAGAGAGCATGAAAAATAATGGTAGCTTAGCCATCACTTAATTCATCTAGTACTTGATCTATCAGAACCGGGGAAAATGCAAGCCCTATTGGGCAAAATAAATGTTTTATTAATAATTAGACATGTGGCGCAAAAGTCACGAGAAAGTCACGGGTTCTTACTCGATCGAAATGGCATTTGCACTATACGAAATAATTGAAATTTTATCTACTTAAATATCAACTTCTAATTTTAATCAGGTAAGTAAATACAGTGAATAAATCTATTGTGGTAAAGAAGAACAATTAGCAAGGTCCTGGCAAGCATAACTTTGGATTTTATTTTTTCAATATCCGGAAGTAGCAATTGATACATATAAAAATGCGAATACACGCCAATTCAGGTGAACTTTATTTTGAAATTACTATCATTGCTTCAAAGTGACGAAAATATAAAAAATGGAAGATTATACATTGTTGAGTAAACTTTCAGCTAACTCCTTTTGGAATCTCCTTCACAAAAACTTCTGTTGTGCAAGACTGGAAGGTAGCGATATTCATTTCCGAGTTATATGAGAAAACATTAGCTTGTAGCAGTTCATCGGCTAATTTTTTGCTGTTGACGAGCTTGATGAAATCACTAAATTTGATTTTTTTTCATTTTTCAACAACTCTTGGATTATGACGTTTCCAATGACATGATTTGCTTTAATCATTCGAGCCTAATGAAAGTTGTGATAGACGAAATGGAACACAATTTTACGAACCTCTAAAAGCAAAATACATTTAAGCGTGATGAGAACGTTCACACAACGGATCATGCAAAATACCATCATCATTGTCCAGATGGTCTCTCACCTTCGAATGTCTTGCCTCTTTTTATCACATTACTATATGTAATGAGATCACGAGTTTGCAAAGGTAGGTGAATGCCGCTTCGTTAGTTAGATCTCCGATGACAAAGGGTTCTAGATCAGCGCGTGACGATGATTGTTGTAGAGTAGAGCAAAGAAGCCATCAGCAAGGAACGAGATACAGACAAATTATATCATACAATACTTACGCATCATCATTCGTGTTTCGCTACTGACAAACACAACGATGCAACTGTGCTAATCAGTATAGAGTTTTGCAGATCCTCCAACATTTTCACATTTTTCTGGCTCAGCTTACTTATGTTGAGGATTTAACACTGGAGGTGTGCCATTTTTTGCCTGTATCTTCTGGCTCCTCTTTCGAAGGCATCCAGGACAAAAGAAAGCCTGAGCTGTCCAGCTATAATACAAGAAGTGAGTGCAGTGCAAAAACCAGTACTACTTATTACAATAACCTTACTGGATTCTCTCTTACCTAGAATCAATGATACAATGATGGGCACATTCCCATCGAATGAGGATCCAATGGATCCAATAGCCTCTGCAAGATTATCAATGAATTTATCGAATACAGTGGGGACATCAACATAAATGACCCCTTTTCCAACTTCCCTAGCACTCTGCCTGACCATTGTGGTCTTCCCAGTTCCGTGGTCCCGGCAATGACGTGATAAGAGACATTACCAGAGATCGGCTCGAGAATTAGTCTCAGTTTCTTGATAACATCCGGTAATTCATCTGTTCCCGCGTAACATTAGGTTCTGGACAGGAGCCGCACGTAGGATCATCCTATCATTCCAGCGGTTATAACAGCTGGCGAAGTTGAAGTCGAATAATACTAATAAAAACCAGTACCGATCCACTTTACCAACCTCCAAGCGGACTAGAAATGTCAAGGTGTAAGTCAGAACACACAGTCTGCAGTCTGAAAAAGAATATATTAATCACAAAGGAAAAAAAGGTACAATACCAATTCCGTTTTTACGCCCTCTTTTATGTTCTCTTTTACGTTTCTTACACCAGTTTTTAGGCTATCCTTGGCATCTAGTAGGTATGGGTGTGACGAGCCTGCAGTGCACAATGGTTTTGTATAAGCGACGGCCATGTATGTAGCTTGGCCTGTGGGAGCCGAAATCTATGGGAAAGAACTCTTGAGCCCTCCTGAGAAGCGCGCGTTGTACTTGACTAGCATGGGAAAAAAGATTTTAGTAATTTTTTTGTATTTTTTTTTATTTATTTTTTATTTATATAATGCACAATTAAATTAACTAAAAAAAAATTTTTTTTAATTATTTTTATTTTTAATAATTTAGTTTATTTATTCCTACATTTCAATTTATTAAATTTTTAGTAAATATAGACGATTAAACAAATTACAGTATTACTGTATATGTATTATGATATTTTGCTTTTATCATTAAATTTTAGTAAAGAAAAGTATCATTAACGAATTGGTCTATCATTTATAGTATTTATCATCGCTTAAAGCTTATTTAATTTTTAGTCAACGAATTATAAAAAATAATGTATGCTATCTATACCTTCTAATGAAGAAGCTTTTTCGAACTTAATTCGCATGAACAGAAGATTAAAAATGACTACAAATTACAAGTTTTCTACGGGAGTAAATAAAAACTTTAGGATGACGTTATACAAAATCGTTTGAAGGTTATATATATCGAAGCTTTATATAAATAACGAATTGAATGAAGGAAGTGAGTTAATTATTATTAGATGATTTTCTTCGATTCATTTGCCTATCTTACTTCGATCTTCACGAATTTTTTAAGGATATATGAGGCAGAAGCAAAAAAAAATATTTCCTTTCCGCAGTACAGCTTATTTCATTCTCAAACTTCCCACAAATGCTGACCTACATAAATTATTTGACCAGGGAATCGTTGATTCAGTTTTCGTGATGCGGTCATATTTGACAATTCCAAGATCACGCGGTGTATATCACTACAAAACTTATAAAAATATTTTTTTCTCATCTGTTAGTCCCTTTTAACACTTATAAGCAGACAAAAATATAACAAAGCATACTAAAAAAATTTTAAAACTTTGCATCTGATTTATTGTTCGCTTATATTCGCTTTCTACAAGAAATCGTAATCAGCGATCAAAATCCGCCACCGAAATTTTGTCGTCAATCAGCGTTCAATTGTTAATAATGTAAAAACGCAACACGAAATAAATTTGTTTTTGTTTATTTTGTTTTACTAGTCCGAAGTATTAAAGGGACTAACTGATGAAATATCTTCACTTTATATGTTTTTTAACGATAAATACCAAATCAAATATTCGATATTCGGGTAAAAAACATTACTTTTTTTTTTCTTACATATATTTTTTTCTTAAAAATTTTTTTTATTAATAAATTCGCTGTGCCAAAAAAAACAGATTAGTTGGAGTCAGAGTCGACGGCTGAGTCACTCTGCAAAAATCAAGTCGAGTCGACTTCGCTGTTCCAAATTTGATATAATGTCAGAATATTGTGAAATTTTTAATTAAATAAAACTTCAAATTTTTAGTCAAATGGGATTCTTGTCAACATTATTTATGATTATAATTATCTACTTTTTCAACATTAATTAAATGTAAAATTTTTGTTAAATATTAAGATATTAATAAACAATTATGGTCGCTAATTTCAAATGAGAATCTCGACTCAGTCGAACTACAGTTACAATTATCAAATAGATCGGTCAGCCGATCAAGAAGCAATCTTGGCGATAATGACCGTTAGAATTTAGAGTTTTCGTTTGAAAAATATTCAAAAACATACAGATGAAAAAGATATTATTTTTTTTTTTGAGTCAGTTTTAAGCTTGTGTATTTCATAAAAAGGCAAAAATTTAAAGATTTCAAAGAAATATAAGAAATATATAAATTTATTTATTCGTGAGATTATTCGAATATACTTTACTTAATATGTAAGTAACTACATGTTGACTATATTACCATGCAGTACATAGTGAATATATAATTATATGGTGACGATGAAGTTACTGCACATTAATGTCGTATAATTTTTTAAAATAGTTTTGACCATTCGGACCTCTATTTGAATTTCGAATGGCAACTATGTCATTATTTGCAAATTATTTTTTTCGCGTCTGCCTCATTTATTCTTAAAAAATTCGTGATCATAAATCCGGTAAAATGTAAGTTTGATTGGCATTTACGTAAAAAATCGAATTCATCGTCTATAGTATGATTTATAATGCCGTCCTGAACAAAATTTATTGAAATAAAAAAACGAAAAACTTCAAGGGCTCTTATTGCGAATTTCTCACCGTAACATCTTTGACTGAAAGATTATGCTGCGGAAAGATAATTCCACTTAATATGAGTAGCATAGCTTTAAGTACCCTTTGGATATTATGGTAAATGTAATCATTCATGTTATTTTTTAATAGAGCATTTGAATAGGTTTGTTCAGATCCTAAGATCGATCAATTAAACTGTTTAAATATTTTAACCGGTTTTAACCTTTATAATATTTGCGTTATTTTGATTATATAATATTTTTTGGATTAAATAATAATTTCTTCAACATATATACTGAAATCTGAGGTTAATAAGTTTAAAAGTTTCTTTGGTTGAACGAGTCAATGGACTGGGTATTTTCCGTTCCTGTAATGATAAAAATCAAATTCATCGTTCATCTGCAATTTCTAGACCAGATTCTGGACTTGCATCCTCTGGCCATCTTTTAATAGCTATTTATTTACTGTTGTTCTATTAGTAATCCGTAATCAAGTTCCTCCCAATATTCTATGGGATTACAGCCTTGTACAACGTAAAGTACGTGGAGATGATGCGAATAGCAAATATAGTTGATCCATTATTTTCATCCCCAATTGCGAGCATCTCGGCAGCTATTCGCGTTTCTCTAAAGGAAATGATTTCTTTTTTTCGAATGTTTCCTGTTAAAAGAAAACTGCTCGAGTTAACTTAAAAAATAAAAAGATTTACAAATAATCAAAACATACCAATCAATAATACAAAATCAGGTTTGCTTTGATGCAAGGTTTTTTTTCGATACGAAGTCGACAATCGCGTTAGTGGGCTAAGTTTTTTAAAATGTAACTTATAAGAAATCATTGGAATGAGTCGTCACAAAACGAAAAATTATTCATAATAGCTTACGTAACACACAAGGTATCAATGCAGGTTAATAATATGACCTAAGATTACGTAGTGTGTAGGACGAGAAAATCTAATGATACTGGGCAACGAAGACATTTTATAAACTTAGAAACAACCAAAAATATTATTAAGCTAATTTCAAACGTCAAAGGTACCAGGACCGATGAAATTCGGCATTCACAAAAATTCACATATTGAACATAATTATGATTTACTATGTCTCGTAACACAATTTTAATAGCAAACGTCCTATATATTCTGAATCTTCTCACCTCTAAAAAAATTTGACGGTCACGTGGGGGTGAAATTTACTTAATTACACATGTGATCCAGTATATGCTAGCAGATTAATAATTACCACTTGTTTTCGCGATCCTTGTATAAATAAAGTTTGAAATTTTGATTTTACTAAGCTTTATAAAGTTAACTCTGGCCGAAAATACGTTAAATCTAGCTGGAATTAATCATCGCATAATAATTCGATAAACAGATAATCAATTGGCTAAAAATATTTAATTATTTGCAGACATGCAAGTTTGGAAGTGTCGAACATCCCGTAGTAAATATTTCCACAAAAATTTTCTTTGAAATGATTGTCAGCTTAATACCTTTTAAATTCTTTCTGTAAAGTTGCACATGAATCTAATGCAGAATACTATTGTATTTAGGCAAATTATAAATCCATATGAACCCTTTTTTGTCTAATAATTTTAATTTTCTTTAAAGTTATAATGTCATATAATCATGATAAAGGTGTTCTAAATAAAGGTATGAAATTAAACCTTTTATATGTTAAAAGTTAAATAAAAAAAAATTTAAAAGAAATAAAAATTTTTTTGTATTTTTAAAATTTTTTTTTTTAAAAAAAGATTTTTATATACAATTATTGTTATGCTAATTACATTTTTTAAGACAAAAAGTATGCATACATACAATAATACTCATTAATATTTAATTGTTTAAATTATTAAAACTTGTTAAATAAAATAATTAAAACAATAATACATATCTTGTTTGTTTTTATTATATACATTAACAGAAATATATTATTATATTAGCTAAAAATTAGAATTTCAATTAAAATAAAAAAATAATAATACAATCCTTTTTAAAAATACCATTCCAAATTTTAAATATCAAAAAAAAAAGATACTTGATTAAAATTTAAAAAAAAAATTAAAATTAAAATTTTTACTTATATTTTTTATAGATGCTAAAGCCTTGAAATCTTATGAATTAAAAAAAGATAAGTAATCCATTTTTCTTTTAATTTAAAAAAAAATTTAAATTAAAATTTTCTTATCTTTTTTGTAAATGCTAAAGCTTCCAATAGTGATGATTTATTATTTTTAAGATAATATTTAGTAAAGATGGGAACTGTAATTAATATGTTGCAACTTTTAATGTTGCAACTTACGTTGCAATTAGTTTTAACCTATATATGTTGCAACTTATAATGTTGCAACATATGTTGCAACTAATTTTAGCTTATGTTGTAACATTTTGTAAATTTTGTAAATTTGAAATCAATTGCTGTACCATATTTAATATTTAGTATTTAAATAACAAGTATTTGAATAAAAACTAGCTAATATATTATATTATATGAAATGTATAACATAATTATTTAATATTAGAGTTTAATATTTATATATAAACATTTTAAAAACAAGTATTTGTTGCTATTATCTTATTTCAATTATAAATTTATATCATTAATCCTTTAATGCAAAATCTAATGTTGACATTATTATCAGAATAAAAAATTAAAAGAGAAGAAGACATTTTAAGCTTAAATTTGATTGACTAAAAAAAATACAAATTGATTATTATTAATATTACTAATATAATGATATTGTTATACTTTACTTTGACTATTAATTAATACAAAATTAATAAATATGATATAATTTTTTTCATTCTAATATAAATGCTTTAAAGATAATTATTTGTATTTTTCTAATAAAGTATTTTTTTTACAAAAAAATAGGATATTAACTAAGGTTGCTAAAGAAATCAAAGGGTAATTTTCTTAATAAAACTGCTGAAATGCTAAAATTTTACCAAAACTATATTAAACTCTTATAATTACTTATGTTAAAACTATGGTAAAATGCAAAATGCTAAAACTATTATAGTAAATAGTGAAACTGAAAAAACTATGACGAAACTAATTAAACTCTTATTATAATTTTGATGAAATTAATTGTAGAATTTTTAAGAGATTTAGGTAAGCATCCTTAATATTAGCAACAAATCTAAAAATAAGAAATTATATACTTTTTAAATTAAGTAAGTATTATTATTTGCAATTATAATATAAAATCTAAATATATAGATATTTATAATAAATGAAGAAAATTAAATATATTTTATAGTAATTTTAAATATCATAGATTTATATTTAGAATAAAAAAAATTACTAAAGAAAAAATAGATTTATTATATATTTATTTCAATATATTATAAATAAAAGGTCAATTAATTTTTTCAATAATATAATATTAATACATTTAAATTAGCAAAATATTAATAATAGTATTATTAATAAAGATTTCTATTTAATGATTCGAGCGAAACTAGTTTCACTAAATTTGATCTATAAAGTATTTTCAAATTAAGGTTTTGGATAATTTTGGATATATGAGGTAAAACTGAAGTTCATTAGGCGAAAAGTTTCAGATATGAGAAAATAGTTTCACCTGAAACACTAATTCTATTTATTGAATTAGTTTGAAGGAGAATTCATTAGAAATATTTATCTAATGTTAAATCACTACTTATATTGATTTAATATTAAAAGTTATTATTATTATAAAATTAATTTTAATAAAATAATAATTTATTATTTTTTTATAATATTAATTTTGCATTTTCACAATTTAACATTAAATTAATATTAAAATTTATGTTAATTTAATAATAAAATATTGTTGTATTTACATTAAATTTTATTAGGAAAATTTTCTTATGATAAAATTAGAGTTTCAAATGAACTGAGCCAAATTTCAAGTCATATGAGTTGAGTTAAATCAAATTAATTCAAGTCAAGTCAAAAAAATTTTAACACTTTAACTTGAGTTAAGTTTCAAGTTAAGTTTAATTTGATTCGAAACAAATTGAGTTAAACTTAAGCTAAAATTAAATAAAATTCAAGCCTAAAATCATTTAAAAATATAAAAAAATTATTTTAATAAAATAATATACAATACAGAAAGAAGACAAAAATCGCCAGGCAGATTATTTCTTAATTAATATTAAATAAAAAACAAGATTTTTCCAAAATTAGTATGTTTATTTAAAATGAATTTTTTTAAAATGTTTCACAAAAAAGCTTCAGCTATTCATTTAAAATAAAAAAAATGATTACCAAAAAATAGAACTTTCTGCTTTTGAACATGAAGAATCATTAATATAATATAACTGAAAAAAAAATAGCTGAGGGTCTTAATCATTCCAAAAGCACTATTCATAATGTTATCTTTGCTTATAAAAATTTGGGTTGTTAAACAATGCCTACTCAAAGTAGTAGACCACCTATAATTACAGATAGAGATAGTCATCATTTAGAAAGAGTTCTTAAAAAAAAGAAACAGACAAATCTTCAGAAAATAAAAGATAATTTATTTCTTCTATGTTCACTAATGTATGCATTAAGATTATTAAGCATTATTTGCATAACCAAGATTATTATAGATGGGTTGGAGTAAGAAAACCTCTTATTACTGAACCTAATAGAAAAAAAAACTTTATGAACTCAGAAGCATAAAAATTGGGAAAAAGATGGGATAATATTATTTGGAGTGATAAATCCAGATTTGAATTATTTAAAGGAAATGGGAGAAGATATGTTTGGAGAAAAGAACATGAAAATACGATTTAGACTGCCTTATTCCAACATTTAAATCAGGACAAGAAAGTGTTATAGTCTGGGGTTGTTTTACAAAAAGTGGTTTTGGACCTTTAGTTAAACTAGAAGGAAGGATAAATGCAGAAAAATATGTTAATATGTTAGAAAATAATTTATTAACATATATACAAACTTTGGAGAACAAAGAAAGTTGTATTTTCCAAAAAAATAATGCTCCTATCCATACTGCAAACTATGCAAAAAATTGGAAAAGACAGAAAAATATAATAAGTATTCCATGGCCTGCACAACGTCCAGATATGAATCCTATAGAAAACTTATGGCAAGAATTGGATAGGCAGGTTAAGTCGCGCAAACCATACCAAAAAATCGAGAACAATTATGGCAGGCACTTCAGGAGGAGTGGTTAAAATTAGATGAAAATAAATATAAAAATTTGATTAATAGTATGCCTCGTAGGATCGCTGCTGTTAAAGCTCATAAAAGATAATCCTACAAAATATTAAAATGTCATGTATATAGTTTGGATTTTATATGTTAAAATAAAAAAAAAATTATTTTATTTGATGCAGTAGTTTTTAAATTATTGCGATTTAAAAAATTCTTTTAAATTTGGTGTAAATGATTGACAGTACATCTTTCTAAAAGTTCAATAGCTAATATAATTTGCATTTTTTTTTTGCATTTTTTTTTTTTTTAAAAAAAAAGCACAAATATTTATATAATATATTGTATATCTATATATATTTTTATTCGGCCGAACTATGCTTTTACAAAGTCGTTTATAAATTTGTGGAGAGACACTAAAATCACTCATGCATTCAAGTTTATCTAATTTATGGATCGGCCGACCTTATCCTTTCAATCACTAATTTACTTAAAAGAAAAAAATCTTTGATCTGATAATATGGGGCCTTTGCAATAGAAAGGGGGGAAACTGCCGGGAAAAATTAATTTTACTTTATATGCCAAATATGATTTTTATGCTGAAATATGTTTAAATTTAGCATTAACTCATTTTTGATTTTTCCGGCTGTTTCCCCCCTTTCTATTGCAAAGGCCCCATATGTTGGTATTTTCTCGATTGAGGTAATCTTGCCAGAAATTTTGTCCTTGAATATTTTGCGTCAATTTGTTTAAAATCTACCCGGTACTTTTTGAAAGGTTGTTTGATGAGATATGAAGATAAATAATTAACGTACTAATGCTGTGCATTTTTCAAATGTATGTACTTTAATAGTCTTTTTAGCGATTATAATCAATTGTAAAAATTAGAATCGGTTATAGAATCGTTTAATCGCGAAAAATCGATTCTCGATTTTCGATTTTTCGATTCCCCCAATTTATCAATTTATGCATTAAAATAAATTTAGAATTCTCACCGGTTTGATTATCACTTGAGCCATTTTGATTATAAATTTTTTTTTTTCTTCACTTTTATTATATGATCAAGTATTTTTACTTCTTTGTCAGCGTCTTTATCTCCACATCTCCACATCTAACATTCACCGTTAATGCACGTATAGCGCATCATTTGAAAAGTAAATTCGAATTTCTGACCACGACATGAATGAAGTAAACCTTTATAATAAAGTTATTTTTTTTTAGTACAAATCAATACCAAATATCAACATACTTGTGCATGAAAAGATAAAAAAAAACGCCCCGCATTTTCGCGTGAACATTGCTTTTAACTTACATCACTTACATCAATGAACAACTCGGCCGAACAAAATTTAAAGTTTGAGGCTATGTAAAAGATGGAATTCGACAATAAACTTTTGCAATTTTTATTGGTTTCTTTACAAATCTTTTTTACCAAATTTTTTGTGATACCCGAATTCAATCCCGTAAAGTAAATGACGCGTTACGAAATAATTAACACAAAGTGGTTTAAGTTTATTATTGTTTCGATATGTTTAAATTCTTAATAAAGTATTTTATATGAAATGCATTGATACGGCCGAAGGTTGGTGTAAAACGATGAGATAATCTAAAGACGCGCACAATAAACATTAATGATATAATGTCAACATGTATATAAGCTTTTTTAAAAGAAAGGTTAGCTTCATTCTTTATATGCAACATTACGGCCGAAGCATTTCAAATAATTGCACAATATAAATAAATAAAATATTTTAATAAATTTAATTTTAAAGTAAATATAAAATCCGAAAAGTTGAAGAAGTGATGATTTAAGTGAAAAAGAAATCTTTTGATTGTCACAACGCCATTTTGCGCCATACGTGGTGATCTCTGTTTGTGGTTGAGTAGGAAATCAAATGCCACTATGCTAAATTTATGCCACACTTAATCTGTTTGACATTGTTGATAAAGTATAGAATGTTCGATTAATTAAAGAACATGATTATGCTTTTTTCCTACAAAAATAGATGTATCCTTTACACGTGTATTTTTAATCAGCGAATAATTTGTTATTTGCGGATCGTCATATCAAATCAAATACAATATAAAAAGAGTTTATTTCCTTTTGGCTATTCTTTCCCGAATTATTATGTGAATCCTTAAATGGTTACCGTCTTTTTTTTTACCGCCTGCTCTGCTTTGCGTATGAGTTATGACGATGAGAAGGTACAATTGACTTCTAATTGAACGTAAAAAATTACGATTGGGAAGTCGCAAGTTTTTAATGTTTGACACGGGTCGATTGACGCCACACTGTCAGAGACTACTACGTATGTTTTACTAAACTAAATTGTGCGGAGAATATTTATTTAACACTGTTATACATTATTAATATCTATCATTACGTCAAATAATGTGGCACATGACGCATGTCTATAAATGATTGCACATAATCTTTCAAAGAATTTTTTAATAAATTAATGAATACAATATTCTAAATAAAAATGTATCCCTTTGATCAATAATATTACAAACCCTAAAATACAATTATGATAAAACAAGAATAAACTTAGGATGTGGGTACCTCTTCCACCGTATCAAGATCGGATAATGGTCTATTTCCTCCAGAAGTGGATGAAAAATGCTCGCCACCATCATTTGTATCATTTGTACACTCAATTGAACCAGCAAAAGCCAAATCGGCAAAAATGGAAGAAACACCTGAAGCATAAATTACCGTTGGAGTTTTTGGCTTGACAGTCGTAGTTTTAACATTATTGGCATTTTGTATCTCACCAATCGAAACCATACCGTCAGATCTATTTACTATATCGGTATAAGTGGTATTATGAGTGCTTGTAGAATCTCTAAACATAGTTGGTACATTTCTTCGAGTATTTGGAATGTTTCGAGTAGTAACAGGGAGGACAGGACTTTTGTTATCATTATTAATTTTAAGCTTGAGTTTTCTCCTCTTTATATAAATAATCAATAACGAAGCCAAAATAATAAGTATTAAAAATATCCCTCCAACAACAATAAATGTAATAACAATTGAATTATTTTTTTTCTCGATTTTATCATTGTTATTCGTTGATGAATCGGGATTGGGTGTAGTATCATCATCATTCATGTCTATTTCAGGATAATCGGGATTGAATGTGGGGTTAGGAGCGAGGTTAGGAGCGGGATTGGATGCGGGGTCGGATTCGGAGTTGGATGTGGGGTTGATGTTGGATGTGGGATTATTATCATTATTTTCACCTGGAGTCGATGAAGTGTCGGGAATTTTTTTAGCAGTGTTGAACGTAGCAGCGTTATTAGAATTCTTTAGTGGTTGAATAATTATTTCAAGATTATCAGCGTTAATCACTTCGATAGGATTGATGTCATCATTTTTATTAGTACTTTGACCAAAAGTAACAAATAAATAGTCATCATGCAAAATGACGTTATGTCCAAATCTAGCAAATCCATTATAGTTTGCTTGGTCAGCCGCTAAATTTTTCCAATCCCATTCGTCTAGATCCAAATAAATAAAATACGGAACGCTTGCTTTCTCATTATTCACGTTTTTTCCACCGATTATAATGATTTTATTATCGTGGAGTGTTGCGGTGTGACCGAATCTACCTTCAGGTAAATCCTTATCGGAAGTTGATCGAACGCTCCATTTACCATTTACTGTATCGTAAATATTTAGATTGCTCATTTGTGATAATATCAACTCATTTGAATCACCGAAATCTGCTCCACCAATGAATATGATTTTACCATCTTTCAACATGGTACAAGTTGATCCAAATAATCCGGGAGGCGTATCATCCGTAGTTTCTTCATTCCACCTTTTATTATTTGTGTCAATGGAATATAATTTATTATTGATCTTTCCTCCACCCTTTGGATTGTAATCTGATATACCACCAAATAAATAAACCCTCCCATCCTCCAAGTTTTGAACATAACTTGCAAATGATAACCGTTTTGGTGGTGGTTTCCCTTGATATTTTGGATTCATGGTCCATTTGTTCGCATTGATATCATACTCATAAATCTGTGAGTTAACGTCGATTTTTTCATCGGTATTTGGGTCAAAAGTCTCTCCTCCATAAAATATTATTGTGGAACGATCATTCCGAGCTGACAAAGCCATCACGTTATACCTTAATCCTACTTTCATCGAATCAAGCAATTCCCATTTATCCTTTATTGATTCTGCATTAAAAGTATTGTTATTGTTAAGATCCAAGGACGAGACGTTCAATGTGAACAATTTATTCGATGTCGTTGGGCTTGAATCGGACTTGTCGAATGTTTCACCACCGAAAAAAAATATTTTATCATTACTTAAAACCGATGTCATGTCACTTCTCATCTTATTATAAAAGAAATTCCCATCTTGAGGTTGCGGTTGAGGTGGTTGCGCCGCATTTATTGTGTTAATAGTTATGATGATATTTAGAAGCGCTGCTCCTATTATCATTATGATTGATTTTACCATTAATTAATTAATCTTTGTTTATTTTATGTCAAATGTTTGTAGAAGTTCGATACATTGTTAAAAGGGAAGGAATGAAATTTTTAATGATTATTTTTGAATGTTCTATATCTATATCACACCTGAAAAAAAAAAAGGAAAACTTTTTTTGGGCGAAAAATAAAAAGTAATGAATACATATATAAAAAAAAACGGCGATTATTTATTATGGTTGGTGTAACAAAAATCAAACACTTCAATTTATTAATTTCTTTTTATGGAATGAATATCAATAAAAAAATTCCTATTTTCCAATATATTGAATGAAACATTATTGAACAAGACCAATTAAAATACCTCCCCATCAATTAAAAACTAAGAAAGACTCGAGTATATATATCTATTTTTTTTTTTGTTATTTCTTTTTTTCTTTTTTTTGAACAAGAAGGTATCTATAATTAACAATCACAAAACTAATTTGTTCTGAATAAACAAATCACATTCTTTTGTTTATTGTTTCGTTGTCCTTTAAAAGTAGCAATTTTTTTTTTTTTTAGAATTCGTTAAAAATAAAAAATGCAGGATCCGATAATTAAAAAAAAAAAAGACTAGGTCTGATAAAGAAATGTTCGCAAACAAAAAAAAAACATTGGCTGCGCGGTATAATTAATTACATACGGGTATACAAAAAAAATTATAATTTTCTTTTATTGAAAAAGGAGAAAAAGAACTTTATTTTTTTTTTTTTTTAAAAAAAAAAGGGATTTACAAACAGCCCGTCCCGTCATTTCATTAATGCAAACTAACTCATTTTTGAAGAGAAAGCATTAAGCCTAAAATTTGAATTTTCTAAACATTGAAAATCGACTTGAAAGATTATGCAATAATTTGAAGTTCAAGTTGATCATGCCCAAGGAAAGTTCCTTCTTATGCCCATTACCGAAAATAGGTTTCGTTCCCCGTTGATTCCCCTGATGTAATCAACAGTTCGCAGATTTGCAATTGAATGTAATTTGTTCGCTCTTGGTATAGATCGTGAGAGGCACTTGACCTTTTTACCCATTGGGTAAACTGTCAAATAGTTGTCATGGCGTGTGAGGGATCCAAAAAGGCTTTTTCAATTATTATTTTGGACAATTAATAAAGAAATAATCCGCCCATTTTTGAAATTTAGTTTAAGTGATAATTCTTCGGGTATTACGTATTACTGTATATGATGATGTGCTATTTCCCGATGAAATCTGTATGGGAGTTGACAATCGTAACATCATGCACCTTAATATCACCTGACACAGGCCACCGCCATTTTTTAAGGTTGTGAAACGTGGCGTGGATCGATCTGTCATGAAATCTTTGATTAGACATACGTACATCCAAATAGCAACACAATTACATATATAATAAACAATGTAAGCCTCAAAAATGCTTTTATTTAAGCAAGACAAATCAATCAATTGTGCATTAATTGGGAAAATGTGTATAATAACCAATGATGAATATCTCGGCCGCTTACCAATAAGTTCAACATGTTTATTCATTTTATCTATTCATGGATTAATGGGACTTTATTGACAAATTGTCCATTTATTTCCCGATTTCCTTGTCAAAAAGTTGAGGAATTTCCCAGCTTTATTTCTTGGAATTCTATTTTCTATTTTTATCTTTGAGTCAAAAATACTAGCCACGGCAAAATGAGGTCAATCATACCATAAAAGTGCCATCGTGAAAATCAATTTTATACAAAAAGTCAATCTTTAGTGTAACAAATGTGACAATTTTCATAAACATTAATTATAAAAATTGTCGGCCGAGTAATATGGCCCTATTTTAGGTTGTAAAAAGTGGTAGTAATACGTATATCACATACTACATATATATTATTATTTTTCGGATATAATACATTTTACATATCCGGAAATTTATGGTCTTAATTAATCTCAGGAAGGAAATTAAATTGTTATATAAAGGACCCCACATTTCACTCGGAATGTTTAATTGTCAAAATAAATTTCTTTTTTTTAAAAAAAATAAAATAAAATAAATCACAATCCCTATAATATATTATATATAATATATTAGGCTAACTAAAGAAATTAATCTTTTTATTTTTAAAAAAAAAATAATTAAAATAAAAATAAAATTAAATATAATAACAAAAATACAATAACTTTTTATTCCTTAAAATTCGAAATACACTTACAATGATCGATTTTGTTTCGGGAACACCAACTTTCGCTTTATCAAAAGTCATCGTATGGGTGATACTAGCTGTATTACTAAGGATTGTATCAAAAATGATTCATAACGCGTTAATTAGCCCGTTAAAAGCAATACCAGGTCCAATAATCTGTTCCGTATCAGATTGGTTAATTGCCATAAGGAAGCCTCATGGTCGTGTTTTTGAATGGTTTTATCAAATGCACCGTGAATACGGTAACGTCGTGAGAGTCGGTCCAAATCTCGTTTTATTCTCCAGTAAGGAGGCCGTAAGACAAATTCTTATCACCAATGTATGTATGAAATTCGGATTGAAAATGTTTCTTGTAAGTTTGTAAGTTATAAAAATTTGCAAATGTTAATTTTGAACATTGATTTCTAATAGGAATTACCAAAACCTGACACCATCTCCGGAATTCGCACTGACCCGAATATTGCCACAATATTCTCTGCAACGTAAGTACATCACAATGAATTGTCATTGAGCGTGAACATGTGACATGAACACGTGACTTACCGTAACGCTCTCTTTTGTCCTTTCTACAGTGACCGACATTTCCATAAGCAACGAAGAACTATGTTAACTCCCACATTCTCCATCAAATTTATCGCATCTCTTGAGCCATTAATGCAATCATGTATAAAAACGCTTGTCAAGAAATTGAATTCCACAAGTAAATCCGATCCATCAATTCAGATCAATAAAAATGGATTACCGATCGTTAATATTTATCAATTGGTTCAAGCAACGACGTTAGATATTATCGGAGAAACAGCATTCGGAGGATCATTTAATTTGATCGAAAATGGAGAACATCCACTTCCAGGAAAAGTTTTTCAAGAATTAAAAAGACGTGTGTTAAATCATACCTTTCCTTATTTGAAACCATTCTTTAAGAAAGATTTATGGACCGATGAATTTATTCAACAAATCATCAGAGATCGTAAGGAGTTGAACGCAAAGGGAACAAAACGGGAAGACATCTTGCAAACCTTGTTGGATGCACGTGACACGAAAACGAACGAGGGATTGTCGGAGTTTGAAATTCAGGATCAAACCATGGAATTTTTAATTGCCGGCAGTGACACAGCCTCATTCACTATTAATATGGCGTTGATCACGTTACTTCATCATCCGGAGAAATTACGTAACATTATGAACGAATTGGATTCAGCCTTCCCTGCCGGTTCTCGTCAATCACCCGAACATAAAACGCTTAAAAATCTTAAATATCTTAATGCGGTTATAAATGAAACTTTGCGTCTCTTCCCGGTGTCAATAGGGGGAATATTACGTCAGGCACCAAATGATATAATGATCGATGGATACCTAATACCAAAGGGTACGACCGTATCAGCATCAATCTACCAAGTGCATCGATCCAAAGACATTTGGGGCGTGGATGCGGATCTGTTTGAGCCTGAACGTTGGGTGAATGGTAATCCCGTAGAATTAAAAAAATATATCTTCTCGTTTGGATCCGGTTCAAGATACTGTATCGGATATAATTTTGCCATGATGGAAATGAGATTAATACTGGCTTCATTATTATTAAATTTTGAATTTGAAAAGGTTGAGAAACAAAATTTACAAATCGTACATTTTATTACTCCAGCTCTAATAACCAAAAAATTTGACGTTGGAGTTAAAGTTAGATGTTGAGACAATATATATATTTACTTTTTTTAAAATAATTTTCAATGGGTTCTTTTCTTGAAACCTTGTAATATATTTCTTATGTATCATATTTCCTTTTTATTTAATTTAAATAATTCATTCGTCTGGATCGAATAATATAAAGAATAAAGTATTATTTTTTAAAAAATAATTCTCGTTGTGTCACGTGATTTATAGGTTTTGCTATCAAAATCAAAATTTGAGGTACGGATCATATGATTTAAAATGTCTCGTACCTCAATTTTAATAGCATACCACCCATATGATCCGTAAATAGCAAATAATAAAAAGTTAAATGTCACTTGATTTTATCATCCGATTAAAAATATCCGAAATTGGACATTAATTTCTCTCTAAATTCCCAAATTTGCTAAACAAGAAAGATGACTTCCAAAGACAAGTTCAACGTATCACGTAACAACAATACTAAAGATTACGCTACACGATTACCGCTAAAACAACAAAATGATTATAAAGATTGTTTATCTTGCCGTTTAATTGGTGCAACTACATTTGGAGGTTTGGGAGCTTTTACCATTTATCAATCTTACACTAATCCCTTGATGAAACGTGGTTATAGATATGGATTGGTTTGCGTTGGATTCGGTAGGTTGCAATCCTTAATATTTTTATTTATTAAATTTTATTTTAATTTATTTTTGAATTTTTTTTTTGAATTTTATTTTTTTTTATTTTTTTAAAAAAAAAAAAATTGACAGGATTTTTACAAGTTGGATTGTATCGACTCTTGCATTAAACCTAACTAAAAATAATCGATTGAAATCATAATCATAATGTTAACCAAACCAAAAAAGATTTTGGGATAAGATTTGGTTAGTGTTCTCATACTAACCAAACCTAGTTTCTTTAATAAATCAGTCGTACAACCAAATAAAAATCTTTATTTATTAATGATTTGCTTTTTTTAAATCATGGAACATTCTGATACTCAATCTATTTTTTTTTTTTCCTTTTGAAAAATGATTTTAAATCCCCTCCCTTTCTTTCATTAAACGCATTAACCTTTTTAATCATGGAGGAATACGAACATTTATTATTAAATCAAACGACCGAAGATGATGATAAATTATATTTCACATATCAACAACAAGGTTATTTAGGTATTCAAGCTTCAACATTAAATGGAACGCTTCATATCCGTTACCCAACAAATTTACCTTTGCTAGCAAAAAAAATCGATATCGTATTTAGTGGAAGATCCTACGTTCAATGGAATGAAGGTACCATCATAAATTACGCCGAAAAGAAGTACTTTGAATATACTTGTCGCGTATATGATGGGGATGAATTGGGAATAAGTTATTTGGATTTACCATTTGAATTTAAGATACCGGAGAATGCTCACTCTAGTATTTTACCGGTCACTTCGAAACTTACCAATCATCTAGGAAAGGCAAAGATATATTATTCTATCAAGGCGATCATCACAAAAGAAAAACGAAATGAGCATTTGTTTAAATTGAAGGTACCAAATAAAGTGGTTGAGATTAAATGTCCGATAACGAGATTTATTCGACAACAAGAACTCGAAAAGCAAGAATCCATTACGTTAACGAAGAATGTGAATAGTGGTGATTATTTTATCACGTTCAACAAGGGAACATTCAATCAATACGATATCATCAAGATATCTCTCAATATCAAGAATATTAATCGAAATATTATCAGGAATGTGAACAAGGCAAAGATTCAAATTAACTTGAATGAATATTGTAAATTAAAAGTGGGATACAAGTCTCACTTGGTAGAGAAAAGGTTACTTCATAGCGTTATGAATGAGGAATTAGAAAAACCGTATAAAGGTTTCGGTTTTAATATTGAATTCTTTAAAGAATATAATTTATATCTAAGTGAAAGCAAGATTTGTTGTAGCGTGAAGACCGATTTGATTAACGTTTGGCACGTGGTGGAAATCATTGTATCCTTGAATGGCAAGAAACGAGTCAAATTTGAGAAAATCATTAGCATCGTTAATGCAATTGATAAGATTTAGACATTTAGACATCAATTTGTATATTTTATTATCTCTACTCTTAAAAAAAATTTTTTTTTTTTATATATATATATTTTTCTTATTAATGTTTTCCGTAAAATTAGCTATCACATGTAAATAAACTCATTCCTGAAAAACATTTCAGGTTCCAAAAATCAACCAGTTTTGCTTTTTATATACACATCTAACCATACAAACGTTTGATGATAACACATGACCAGCTCAAGTTCTCGTAAAGTTTTACAGAATTTGTAAAAATGTTTGTGCATTGTGCTTTAATAATGATTGGGTAAAAACAAAAAAAAATATTTATTTTAGAAATTAATAATAAAGTGACAACAAGCTAATTTAAGGTCCTTGCATTAAAAAAAAAAAAAACTTTATAAATAGAATGAATTGCATTTCTTTGTAAATATAAAAGGTTATCAGTTGCGAAAAAAGACTATTTCTCTCACAATTCATCTCCACCATGACTACCGAAATTTCAAAATTTGCAATTACACAAAATCATTTATTAACCGATGCCTTACCAAAACGTCCAGCGACACCGACCACACCTACCGATTTTACTTTATTATATAACCCAAATTGGGGATATCTTCATTGTAGCACGAAAGCATATTTTCAGTCAACGAATCCAACGGACTTTCAACAAGGTTGTTACGGTATAGAAGATACCGTTTTGAAAGGTTCATTTCATTTACGTTATTCCACAAATTCCCCGTTATGGGCTAGTAAGATTGAGATGATCCTGGAGGGGAAACAATTTGTTACCTGGAAAGGTGTTCGTGGCGAAGTCGTTCGAGGAGAAAAAATGTTGTGTAAACAAACGAAAATAATATGGGAATCTATAAATAATGAATTTGAAGAGATTATCACATTGGATTTACCTTTTGAGTTTCCATTACCGAACAATTTACCAGCAACCATAACTCCCCTTAACGTTATAGAATATGGGGGAAACATTGCTGGAGGTGTCGCGGGTGATGGATCGGAGGTCGGTCATATTACGTATATTCTACGAGCAGAAATAACCCGTCCCATTAATATCTTTAAATTACGAATGAACTCAAAGAAAATCATCGACATTTGGTGTAGAATTCATAGGTGGCAATCCCCACCTTTGAACGATCGACCGTTCAAGTGGAACGGGAATTTCATGGGTATCGGTTATGAGGTGGAATTGGAGAAGACCTTGTTTAATTATAAGGATATCATAAACATTCCGATGAAATTCTTTGTCAATGATTTAACGAACGTTAAAATCAAAAAAATTTATGTCAGGATAAAAGAATATCATAAATTAAAGTTCAATGGTAAATCAAATACGATTGGAGGTTTCGTCGTAGCCGATTCGTCGTTCGGAGAACAAATGAGAAAGTCAAACTCGGGAAAGGACCATTATTATTTTATCAAGATGCAATTAAATTTAACAAAGGCGAATTTAGGTAGAAAATTAAATTGTTCAATGAACACTGAATACATTGACATTCGACATAAATTAAAAATCAAAATCACTCTAAGCTCCTCATCGAAAAACATTGAACTGGATAAGGAAATTTCCATATTAAATGTTTTCGCAAAAAGGGATCATCCTTGTTTCACTCAACAATGTCGATTGGTGAACACTTGGTTTTATCATCTTCACGAAGAAAATTTATCAAAAGCTACGATGAGTGAGGTGAGGGATACATCAAATCTTGATAAGGCGAGACAAAGGTTTTCTTGGTTTGGAGGAATGAAAAATGATCGATTTTCATTCTTTAGTAATAGTAATAGACAGAGCCACGCGTTTTAAAGAATTTTTACGCCTAAATCCAGTTATTTTCCGGCTTTTTATTTTAGAAATTTTTTTTTTTTTTTTACCGGATTTATAATTTTTTTTTTTGTAAACGCTTTTCCTAAAATTCACTGACCTGATAAATCATGCAGTGAGACAGAGACACTAAAAAGGACACATGATCAAACTTCAATAAGACAATTTTTGATGTCCCCTAAAAATAAATTTCTTTAATTGGACAAAATCACATTCATATTCCCTTGTTTAGTAATAGCATACATTCTATTTTTTTCTTTCTTAAAAAATAAATTATATAATCCTTTGAAAAAAAGAGAAATTAATTTATCAAGTTCTTTTATGAATGATCATTGACATATAATAAAAGATTACTATTTAGTCAATTGGAATTGAAAAGGAATCGACGGGAAATGCTGATAATGATGTCAAGAATTTCCTGGATTGAACAATGACGAAAGCCTTATTTAAATACATTCGTGTGTAACTGCCGATTAACTATAATTATTGTGCGCTTTTTGAATTCAATTTACTTTTTTTTCACACAGTCTTCTCATTAACTTTTTTTCTCGTTTGAACAAAAAAAAACCAAAGCTTTTCTTCCCTTTGCCAAAGTTAAACGTCATGAAGGATCATTTGGATTTATCGATATACCCACCAAAATCACAATATAAACATTCATGTAAAAATATATTTTTTTCATATTTACCAAATAATACAAATTTTCAACAAGGATATTTGGGAGTTCAACAAACAAAGATTGCCGGTATTTTACACATAAGAAAACCCATTACGAATCCATTATTAACAGATAAGATAGAAATTATATTCACCGGGAAAGAATTCGTCAAATGGAGTGACGTGGAAATATGTAATAATATCAATAAGAAAATCATTGAACTTTCTTACATTATTTGGGAATCATCGATTAAGGGAGTTTATCAAAAGATTACCGATTTGGACCTACCCTTTGAAATCCCCTTACCGGATGATCTGCCCGATTCTTTTTCCTTTAAACAACCTGTTAAGGCCCAAATATCTTACGCTTTAAAGGCGAAATTTTCCAAACCAACAAAATATTTTGGATTGAAATGTGGAGTGAAAAAAGTTAGCATTTTATGTCCGATCACAAGGTGGAATTTACCCGTACGGCCTACCTTACAACCAATTCCCATGAACGGCAGACGTTCGATACCCCTTTCGGAAGGTGTTGAATATGTTGCCAATTTAGATCAAACGATTTTCGGTATTGGAAATTCCATCACAATTCCTATAGAGTTGATCTTGGTAAACATGAGAGTTTACGTTAAAAAAATCAAAATCTTTTTAAAAGAATATCATCAATTGATAAAAAAAAAGTTTATACATTACGATTCCGAAAAAGTTGCCAAATCCGAAATATACGGTGATCAATTGATGCTGGTTTCTGGTACCATGAATCGATACGAAGTTAAAGCCGGTTTGGATTTGGTCTCGAACAATCAAAGGAAACCGATTCTTCCATCGGTGAGATCGGATCATATCGTTATTTGGCACAAGGTTATAGTTAAGGTGATCTTATGCAACGCTTCAAAAATCAAGTTTGAGAAAGAAATTAAAATCGTAAATTCTTTATGTGAGGAAGATGCTCTAATGATCACCGAGGAAAGGAGGAAATCCAATTGGAGTAATTGGAGTAAAATGGATAAATTATCCGCAAAAGCCGTTTACAATTTATCAATCAACTAAAAGAGGAGTTCGGGGAAATTATGAAGATTTTTTTTTTTTGGCACTGTAATAATAATGATGTACGTTGTATATTAGTTGTTATATTAGTGTTATAGTAGGTTAATTATAGGAAAATAAATTTATTAATTTTTTTTTTCGAGATAAGTGCTTGATGCATAGCATATTGCAAAGCACGGACGAAAATTTTTGATGTTGTACATAAATTAAAACTAACTATTTTCGGCGATAACATAAAATGCGAGATCGTCAATTTTTATAACTTTTGATATTTACTTTTTGAATTTTATATATTTACATGTCAGCTGTAACCTTTTATTTGATTTTTTTAATATATAGGTCATTTATCGTGCTTATTTTGGCTCATTAAGCAATATTCCTGGACCAAAATTATCATACCACAATTTATTTCATTGAAACAAGTATCAAGTCAAAAATATCTCGTGTTTTGACGCGTCTTTATTTAATTTGATTGTTTAGAAATCATGTTAATGAGCCGTTATTTTCGTTTTAATGGATATAAGGGGTAGTGTAGTGACTTATGTTCCTATAATGAAACTCGGTAATTTATAATTTCATTAACTCAGTTAGCGATACCTTTGTATTATTTTATGAAAGGCCAAGTTTCAGATATGGACGCTATCAAGAGGTATGTAATATTTTTTTTATCTTTTTTATTATGAATCTTCGAAAATTATACTGAATTTTGTTTTTTTTTTGATCCAGATCGCGTTAATTTAATCCTATTTGATTCATTACATTTCTTATGAATAACTAGAATGATTCTTATGTTAAAGGAAGAATTTTGTTCTCGTCAATGTCGATTTATAGCATTCTCTTTAAACTTGTTGAATGATATTTTTAAATATTTGTTATAGAGATGAACCATTTCACAAACAAACGGTAAGTATTAAAACATATTACTGTACAGTTAAAATTAATAAATTAATACCGAAACTTATATCGTTATAGCGAAGGTTGCTTTCCCCAGCGTTTTCAACTAAATACGTCGCATCATTAAAACTGTTGATGGCTTCGTTCGTTATCGATTTAATTGATAAAGTTGACGATTATTTAAAGCAAAATATCATTGTGATGATGTCTTTATTATGGTTAATCCGTACAAAGTTGCGCTGTGGTAGGTCATATTTCGTTATTTTTTTTACAACTTCTATTTTCGAGAAGCATTGCAGTCAGAGGTGGAAAAGGCTGATTGCTTGATATAAATTGTTTAGAATTTAAATTTTTAATATTTTTTTTTTTGTTATGCAGGCAGGCAGGATATTATCAGAAACTTGTTTAGAGGGTAATTTCATAGTGTCGAAACATCATCCAATTCCAAGAAAAGTAAACTCGGAATTACGAGGAAGGGTTTTTGTATGTTTCAAAAAAGAAAAATCCGATTATTGCTACTTTATTAAATAACTAATATATTTATTTCACTTTAGAGATCAATGTTTGCTTTACTTCATCTCCTTTTGAATATAGATCCATACTTGTGTAATGTAAGTAATTCACTATATATTGTAATGTTACTAATTTTGCGATTGCGATCTAATCCTTTTTATATGATATACATTTATTAGTTTTAATTAAGATTAAAAGACAGATGAAGAACCCTAAAGATGATGTATTATAGATAATATTAGACGTGGTAAAGATGGTCAAATGTCAGATTTTGAAATAATTGATAAAATATTAGAATTTTTAATTGCTGGAACTGAAGATACAGTTAACTTTACCTCTTAATGGCAATAATTTTACTCGCAAAAAAAAATTCATTACAAATTAAAAAGCGTTACAAGAGGAATTTGACAATGCTTTTGGAGATTTATAACGTTAAATTACCTATGCACTATCAATTGAAATCTTTACCTTATCTAAATGGTGTTATTAATGAAACCATGAGATTATGGCCTGTTGTATTGGTATGTATACATGTATATTGTGAAATTGTTTAAATTTTAACTAAAATTTGAAAGTTATTAATTTTATTACGCGTGTTGTGGACAATTACAGGTTGGATGTGGTTCTTCGTTTTAAACTTTAACGAATTTATTTATAATTGGTTTGTTAGCGTTTATTATTTTTAGGCGTTGGAAAATCGCCTGCAGAAGATAGTTATTAAAGGATAAATGATTCCTGCTAATTTAAGGATTTCTTTTAATAATCTATATTGGAATACACATATTTTATTATTTATTTTCTTTAGACAAATTTAGTATTGAATTTTTATCGGTTACGTCACAACCAATGTTAAAGAATTTTTACCGGAAAAATGTTCAGACATAGATAAAGATGTTTCTTATCCATTCTTATATTGCCGATCATAGTGATTTTTTGTGACCGGTATTTTTGTTCTATTAATAGAAATTGCACTAAGGATAATCAAAATAAAATGAAATGACTATTTATAAATTAATTATTTGGTTTATATATAAATACGGGAACATATGGGTCGATATTTCCGGGAAATAACTATATTACGACGACATTGGTTCGTAAAAAGTTATTTTACGTCTTTTTGTATACTCTTCGACAAATCATACTGAAGGACATAAAAATGTACATCACACTGATACAAAGTTATAAGATCAAAAGTTATTCCGGGTAGATAGTAAATGAATAGTATTTTCGAATACGCGGATAATTTTTCGGCTTTTAGTAGATATTGTGTATCACGCTGATTTAATTTATTTATGGCATTTTCCAAATAATTATATCAAAAGGTTAGTCTCCTTTGCCTTCTCGACTTGTTATCAAAGTAAAAGTATATAGTCTGCCTTTCTTTCTGAACCACCATCCAAATAATTTTTCAAGGACAATGGGGTCTTTTCTGTAAAATATTTTAATATTTATAATGATTATCAAAGAGGATGAAAAAAATTTTTCCCGTGAGATCACCTGATGCTCCTAATGCTCCTACAGCGGTGGCTCCTCTCTCGAACAAATAATACAGGGGGAAGTATAGCGTCCGGTAGAAAGAAACCAATTATTAATATATGTTTTTAGAAGTAAAAGATTTTTTGAAGGTAGTGTAATGGTATGGTGGTGGTGATGATGGTGGTAGGTTCACTCATGTAACTTGATTTGGCTTCAAACACAATCAGGGGGTGTAATTTTCATACTGATCCAAAACCATATTTCAACTTCCAAATACATGTTATTAAAGGAAAATATTCATCATCTCTGGAAACTAACACTAACATCACGAAATTTAGACCAGATGAAATCCGGTGCAGGTGCACCGAGTTCCGTGTCAACCTTCTTATTTTTGTTTTCAGTATTTCGACTACGTCATAACCTTGATTTTGAATCAGCTTCCGCAGCGAATCGTTTGTTGGACGAGCGCCAACAATAGGTCGATATGGAGCTGATTTAGGTTGAAGGAATCTCTTTGTTTATCAAAAGTGCCTGCTTGCGGTAAACCATCATTCTTTGAAATTGTCCATAAGAACCGACACCAGCTCGGTGGATTTTGAAATGTCTGCTACAAGGAAAAAAACTTTTAGTATATGCTATATTGAAGATAGATCTGAGAAAAGCAAATGCAGTAGTGGTATTTACCCTATTCTTCAATAACGTGTATTTTTGAGTGGTGTTTCAAGGTTGAAAATCACGAGATTAATTAATTATTCAATATTTTTAAATATGAAGCAACGACTCTAAAGTCAATCCATATAAACGTTAAGTAACTTTATACTAATGTTATTCAACTCCTTGTTCAACCCCACAATTTTTACGACTAGTCCAAGAGGCACATTGCATTCTATAATATCTTTTTTTAGTTAACTTAAGGAACGCGTCACCGTCAACAAGATAATTCATGAACTTGGTCTCGTTAATGCTCAATTTGGTTTTTATAAATCCTTTAATTTGAGTCACTAGTACTCTTTCTCAATTTATTCGGGGTATTTGATAGGAGAGTAGAATGGGAAAACTACAAAAAAAAAAAAATTATATTAAACTTCAATGAATGAACGATCAAAACGGGTTTATTTTTCCGATGCACCCCCGCAGATCTATCTATTCCTTTCATATAAATTTATTGTCCGAAGCGTTGAAATTCTGTCTGTTTGCACGCGTGTGTAACCAATAAAATCGCATGAACAGTTTATTGTTATTTTAACATATGTTACAGGTAAAATTCTTATAATATAATAATTTTAACATAATTTTCAATTTTTAATTTTTCTTTTATTTACAGATGGAACCAAATTACCTAAATTACCATCAATTTGTATATATATTTAAAGGAAAGCAATTGCCACATGAAGAAAAGGTTCCTTCTGATATAGTTGTATGGTTTCAAGAGAGTAAAATATTATATTGATTATCTTAATTGTTTAAGTTCAAATAGCCAATTTAAATTTTCAGCTATGATGGTTTATAATTCTTTAAAAGGCATTTAGAAGAATCAGTTAAAGAAAAATTTAATAAAATTAATATTGATTTATTAGTAATTCCTGATGGTTTAACCAGCAAATATCAACCACTTGATGTTACTTTTAATAAATCATTTAAGGATAATCTTCATGAAGAATGGTATTTTTGGATGTTTAATAGTAATGCTAGATATACAGAAGTAAGAAATCTTTGATGTATAAGAATAAGTAATATTTGTGGATAGATAAAATACGTATAAGAAAATATTTCTAATGATATTATTATTTGTTTCTTTAAAAAATATAGTATATCTAATGCTTTAGATGAATTTGAAGATGATGCTATTTATGAAAAAATAGATAAATTTCTTAAAGAAATTAAAAATGAAAAAGAGGAGAAGGAATTTGAAATTGTTAATATGAATGATAATTAAAAATTATTTTTTACTATATTTTATTCATATTTTAATAAAGATCAATAAAATATAAGTTACTTATTTTCAATGATGCTTATTTTCAAAATAAAAGGGAATGTTTATTTTTGAGGGATGCTTAATTTTGATAAAATATGATAATTATAAATAATACTTACTTAATTTAAAGTATATAACTTTTCATTTTAGATTTATTACTAGTTAATATCCTATTTTTTTTTTTTTTATTATAATTTCAAAATCTTCTTTATAAAATTTTAAAAGAATATTTATTTATCTTTTTATGAATTGTAATTTTACACTTATAATTTTTAAGCTAAATTTTATATTATTTATTTTAAAGAATATTTTCTTAATTTATTTATTTTATTTAATAATCTTATTTATCCTTTAAAAATAATGATGATGCTTATTATAACTATTTTTTATCATTTTAAATTATTCTAAACTATAGTATGATATCTTTATAACTTATTCTTTTCCTATAGTATTATTATAATATTTTTAAATGAATATTACATTAGTCAAAATAAAGTAATTTAATAAATTTTAACCATTAATTTTAATAGATAATATTAAAATTGATTTATTATAGTAAGAAAAAATTGATAGTAAGTAATTTTGTGAATATTATAAAATAATCATATTTAATAGCTCTTATATATTCAAATTATTTACTTATAAATAAATATACTTTTCTTACAAAAATTTTTGAAAAATTATTTTTATTTTTTATTTAAATTTTCTTTTTCAAGTTATATTCTACCTATTTTTTTTTTATAAAGGTTAATTACTAAAAAAAATTTAAATTTCTAATTATGTAATACATATTCTAATCAATTTATATTATAATATTTAAATATTAAAAATGAATATATTCTTTTATTAAATGATAATAATTATTTAATAGACATTTTAGATAAAGTTTATTTTATTTAAAAAATATTAAATTAGAAAAATATATCTTTTATTTTAATAGGATTTACTTATACTTTATAAGTTATTTTTATTTTTTATAAATTAAAATATATTAAATTTTTTTAAGAATAATTAATAAAAAAAGAATTATATATTAAAGACCTACTGCAATACATTATTGAAAATATGAATATCTATAAAAGCAGCTAAAGATACTTTATTAATTAATAAATACTTTACAAAACTAATTTCACAAATAGAATTGGAAGTTATAACTATAGCAAATAATATTCTAAATTAAAAGAAACAGAAAATATGTAAGTAGTATAAGATAAAATAAATATTAAAACTAATAATGATGGTAAAATTTTGCTAAAAAAATAAAACTTTTAAAGCAATTTTAAATAAAATAAAAAATATAAAATATTATTTAGTCTATAAATTACCTATTAATTAAAAAGAAAAAATATGACTTGAAAGAAAGCTTTGTCTTTTATTACAAAAGAAGTTTTTAATAAAAACTATATTATATAAAAGAAATTAGAAAATAGGCAATAAGTTGAATTTAAATGAAATATTACACTAATTAAAGGTATTATTAAAAAAAAATAATTTATTGATGATGAAAATGTAATTAGAAATTACTTATAAAAATAAAGGAAAAAAATATCAAAATTATACAAAATCTTTATTAATAATACTCTTTTTATACAATTAAGAATAATTATATTAATTTCTGAAATTCAACTAAAATATAATTAAAAATTGGATTTGTGCTATAATCTTGAGAAAAGATATTATTTTAGTAAATATGAGTATTCAAATATATTAGAATTATAGCTATATTTTTTAAAATGAATATTTAAAATTAATATTTAAAAAGATAATATGAATTAAAAGGATTCAGTTTATATAAAAAAACTTATACATTTTTGTAATTTATAATAAATGTCTTTTTTAAACTAATAATTATAGTCTTATAATTTTAGTTTCTTTTGATAAACTATCTTTTTATAAAAAAATAATAAGAAAATTCAATAATAGTTTTTTTTTTTAGATGTGACTTTGCCAATTATTTTATTAAGGTAAAAAAGATATTTCTGAAGAAATAAAGAAATTATAAGTAATAAAAAACAATAACTATTTAAAAATCTATATTAAATATTAGCTATCTTTTGATAATAGAATTGTAAAGGCAAATCTATCTATCTAGATTATACTGGTTGAAATCAAAAAAATCAGACATGTGATAAATCATTTATCATTTATCTGTCAATTAGATATAATCATCAATCAGCCAAAAATTAACCTAAATTAACCTGTCTGATTTATGGTCGATTAGAGTTAAGCTAAAATAATTCCAATTGGTCCAATCAGATAATGCAAAAATAATCCAATTGGAAATTTTGTCCCAAAAGAACGATAGAAATTGTCCTTAAGAGAAGATACAAATGCTTTTTAAGAAATGATAAAAATAATCATTCCTTTTGGGATGATATATTATCATTCAAGCAGACCAATTTAAAAAAATTGTTCTAAAGGGATGATAGATCATCGTCCTTATTAAACAATCAAAAAAATCATCCTAAAAGGACGATACATCATTGTTCTTATTGAACAATCAAAAAATTATCCCAAAGGGACGATGAATCATTGTTCTTATTGAATAATCAAAAAAATTATCCCAAAGGAATGATAGATCATCATTCTTATTAAACAATCAAAAAAATCATCCTAAAGGAATGATGAATTATCATTCTTATTGAACGATCAAAAAAATTATCCCAAAGGAATGATGAATCATTATTTTTATTGAACGATTTAAAAAATCGTCTCAAAGAGACTATAAATCATCATTCAATAAGAACGATCAAAAAAATCGTCCCAAAGGGACAATGAATCATTATTCTTATTGAACAATTTAAAAAATTATCCTAAAGGAACAATATATTATCGTTCATTAAGAATGATTAAAAAATCGTTCCTTTTAGAATAATGTTCGTTCTATAAGAATGATAAAAAATCGTTCCTTTTGAAACAATGATCGTTCTTTAAGAATGATAAAAAAATCATTTTTTTAGAACAATAATCATTCTATAAGAATGATTAAAAATCATTTCTTTTAAAATGATAATCATTCTATAAGAATGATAAAAAATCGTTCCTTTTGGAACGAATATCGTTCGATTAGAACGATTCAATATCATTCCAATTAGCTGATGCAAAATCGTCCAATTGGAATGATCAAATTATTGTCCTTTTAGGACAATATACTATCATTCGATAAGAATAATAAAAATCGTTCAAATCGAATGATTTTAATATCATTCCAATCAGATGATGCAAATTCGTCTGATTGGAATGATTAAATCATCATTTCTTCAAGATAATACACTATCATTCGATAAGAATAATAAAAAGAATCATTAAAATTGGACAATACAAAATCATCCAATTGGCTAATGAATATCGAATTAATCAACATTTTCTATTATATTATAAAACTGATAAATTTTCAAATTTATCCAAAAAAATTTTTTCCTTTTTTATCTTTTTCCTTTCTTTTTTCTATATTTTTTTTAGAAATATTTTCATCTTAGAAGATTTTTAACATTTTTCTTTCTGTTTTTTTAGGAAAATTCTCATTTTGAAAATAAGGTAAGTCATTCAGAGGTGACTTTTTGGGTGGAAATTTACTATTTTCCTTTTATTTTTTTTATTTTTTTAGGAAAATTCTTATTTTGGAAATCGGAAGTGAGTATTTGAATAGAATTTCCTTTCTTTTCTTGTTTTATTTAGGAAAATATTCATTTTGGAAATAAGGTAAGTAAATCAAAAGTGACTTTATTGACAGAAATTTATCTTTTACCTTTCATATTTCTTATTTTTTTAGAAAAATTCTCATTTAAAAATTAAGGTAAGTAGATTAAGGGCAACTTCATCGGAAAAATTTTTAGACATCAGATCTGCGCAGGTCTGTAATATTATAATATATGTGCAATTCTTTTAGAAATTTTTACAACGATCAGTAAAATGCAGATCATTGCTAGTTTTTAAAACCTTTTTTGATAAAAATCTGTAAAATGGAAAT